GGAAGAGAGCCATCTATGCTGGAGGACCCTCCCGGGCAGATTATGAAGAGAAGCCGTTTCTGCTGGAGAGTAGTAAATGGCCACCCCATTTATGCTAAAGGTTAAGGAGCCGGTCGTGCTAAAAGTTGATAAATGGCAGAGCCATGATAAATGTTGATAAATGGTGGAGCCATTTATGCTAGACATTAATAAATGGCAGGACTATTTACGCCGGAGGTTAATAAATGTGCAGAGCCATTTATGCCAGAGGTTAAGAAATGGCAGAGCCGTTTATGCTAGAGATTAATAAATGGCAGAGCCATCTATGCTAAAGGTCAATAATTGGCAGAACCATTTATGCTAGGGGTTAATAAATGGCAGAGCCATGTATGTTAGAGGTTAACAAATGGGTGAGCCATTTATGCTAGAGATTAGTAAATGGCGGGGCCAGTTATGCTAAAGATTAATAAATGGCAGAGCCGTGTATGTTAGGGGTCAACAAATGGTAGAGGCTAACTCAAATGAACGTTGTTTTACCATCGAAACTAACTTATAAACACAAGACCGGGCATGATGGGGCCGGAAGTCAGTCCGTTTATCGATGACTTGACAGTCCCATGAATGACCCAAAAAATATTTTTGCTAAAATGTTTGTACCTCCTTCACTGGCAAATACAGACACAGATGAAGTTTTGTGGAAGAACGACACTCCTAACAGTGCATTCTATACAAGGCCACTCGCTCTTATTGCCGAGAAGGAGAGTGCCGATTTTATCAAGTTCATCAACGCTACGTTCGAAATTCAAGAACAAGCTTTTAGGGATACTAAATTGGAACTTATTTACGGGAATCAAAAGTATGAGATAAGGGTGAAAATCGAGGATAGTATGAAGGATCTAAAGGTGCGAACTCTCGAATCTGGCCTCGGAGGTGCCGATTGCTTAATGTGTGTTACTCGTCAAAATGACTGGAAGAACAAGGAGAAAATACAAGACAAAGATGCTTTTCAAATAACTCGTACAGCAGAAAAAGCTCAAAACTTGTTTAAACAACTTATGGACGCTACTGGGGAAATAAAGAAAGCCAAGGATGATTACGAAAGTCGAGGAGGTTTGACGCGGGAACCCATTAGCACCAGTGATCAACACTATCTCACACTTACTCACGCCTATATCAACGGTGTGCATTGGTTCTTAAACATTCTCTATAGAATCAAAGCAAATCTTTTGACATGAACTATTCGGGGGGCACAAAATCAGGAAAGTTTAAAGAAGGCGAAGGATCTTATTTTAACATCGATACAAGACAAGACCGGTCTTAAACTTGACCAAATCGATTCTTCCTCTGGCAATACAGGAACGACTACTACCGGGAATCAAGGGCGAAGATTCTTTTCTTATGAGTTACGGGACAAAATCAAAGAGTGTGTACTCGAGAAATATCAAGAGAAGTACTCGAAACTAATGCATCTCTATAGTGTCATACTCAGAGCAGTATCCTCGACAGAATGTATTCATATTGAAGAACTTCGCAAAGTGACAAAACAATTCATGCTCTTTATAGCCAATGAATTTGCATGGGTGGACTATTCAATTACGGTACACAATCTCATTTTCCATGCAACAGAACTCGTAGAAAGAAATAATGGCATCGGGTTGGGAGAACTCAGCGAAGAGGCGCTCGAATCATCGAACAAGGATGTGCGGAATTACCGGCAATTTCTAGCGCGCAAGTGCGGGCACCTTCCCAACTTGGTCGACGTCTACAACAGGCTCTTCATCCGGTCCGACCCTCTCATTCGGCACATCGTTGAACAGTCGCAACGCAACAAGCAGAAAAGAACGAGTAATGTCGTAGTGATAAGTACAGTGAATCAAGATGACTTACTTTTGAGTCAAATTCTATGTTAGTGATTTTTTTACAGTGACTTCTTCCAGTGAAATCTTTTTTTTGTCTTTTTAGTTTCTTTTAGGTCGAACAGAAAGCACAGTGATTTTTCCAGTGATACAGTGAAACTGTTTATAGCTCCTTTTAGTCTCTAAAGAAAATTCTAAGTTTACTAATTTGCACGCGCTCGTTTTGATGAATTTTCCTCCTCCAAGAAGGGAGACCTCTCCGTGGTGAGGAGGAGAAACGTTGAGGTTTTAGAACGTCAACGGCCAACGTCCCTTCAACATTGACTTCATTTTAATAAAAAGACTATGCACCTTCTCCGATTTTTGGAAAATCGACTCTGAAACTTTTTACAGAGTAATAAAGATAAGACACTTCTGTCCGAAAGGAGCATTATAATATTAACCTTAACCAGTTAAAAAACTTTGCTAATAACTTATTTTCTGTCATATTTTTCCAACTTGCATGTGATTTGAGATAGATAATACAAAGCATGCACCGGTTAAAAACTGATGTTAGAGCTTCCAGAAAATTTGTTATAAGTCGCCTGTAAAGAATTACTCAGAGCCGCGAAACATCTCATTTTGTAGAGATATATTTGCTCTTAAAAGCTCAGCTGCAAAAGAAGCTTTGAACGTATCTCTACCAATACGCATGAGCATTCTAAAAGGCACTAAACTTAGTAGAAAAAACTGTTTGAACAGTTTTTTCATAAATAGTACACAAAGGTCAGAGTTATTCGAGTTGTACTGTCTAAATATGGCGTCAGAATAAAAAACTATATAGATGCTTAAAAAGTCGGTAGGTCTACGAGTTTTCTCCTAAATAGCACATCAAAACCATATGATACGTTAGAAATGCACTATTTCGCTTGATGATCGTTAGGTATCATCAGACGTACAGTTCGCAGGTAACTTCATTCCCAAGAGCAAAATAAAAAATGAGTGACAATACCTGTACAGAGTAGTGTAAATAAAGCACTCTTAAATTGGTGAACAGATTTAATATTCGACTCATCAATAATAAATTGTCTAAATCATATTTCCATTCTAAACTCGTAGTATGATGAAATGATCTATTTATTCTCTTTAAAAAATATATATTTTTCAATTCACGATCATTATCAATGATTATGTCGAATGAGAAATAATTTTACTTTTTTATTTAGCGGTAATTATCGATGGAGAACGATGGGAAAAGAGTCTGACTACTTATTTACCAAATTTGCGTGAGTTCAGTTTCACTATTTTAAATTATAAATCTATTTTAAGAAATATTGACATTATATTACAATCATATTGTACGTCATATTGGTCGACTCATGACTGGCGTGTAAGTTGAAGTGTAAGTGTAAGTTATATGGATCAATACATCGAAAGAAGATGGCCAAAACCTGTATACAATGATACATTAACACTTTATACTGTACCATACAATATTGCGATTTTCTCTGCTTTCCTGCTAAAGAATTATAATTCAGCTTTAAAATGTATTGAAACATGGGTTTTCCCATATGCTTTATCAACCGGCATCCTTAAAAAATGGTTTTTGACAATTTCTAAGCCTGGGCCTCTAGAAATCCATGTTTTCCGGAAATCCTTTGCTGAGCTGGTTTTCAGAAAACTGAGCCGGCTATTCAATTCAGGGTGTCAAAATACGTATAATCGTATAATACGAGGCTTTATGTACTAGCCAAAACAATTCTAGAGATATGTTTGGGCGTGGGACAAAAGTTAGGGGTGGGACATTTTGATGTATTTTTCAAATTTCTTCCTCTGGAAATAAGCTGAAGCCTTGCTATGTACAGCATAACTTGTGCTACCCATTTGACATATATAGTAAAAAAAGCGAGTTCTCAATTCCATGTAGTTCAGTCAGGGGAGAGTCAAAAGGGGGTGGGACAAATTGTATGTCACAAGCCACTGGGCGTCAGTAAAATGTCAATTACTCAAAAAGCTAGCAACTTGCGGTTTTCAACAATCTATAGTGCCTACTTTAGTAAATCCTTTCATAGAAAAATATTGACTTAAAGTGCTTATTGGCTGCGCAGTAGACTCAAAAGGGGGTGGGACACGATTTTTGAACTTTTAAAGGACCAGAAATTTCATCGAAGTTTTCACAGAAACTAAAAGAGATTAGGCAAAACTAAGACTGAAGATTGACAGAGCAGGTAAAATACTGCACAAAAGCAAAAAAGATTTTGTTCCACTGCCCCTTATGAAAAGAAAAATGTTAAGTAAGAAAAAAGAAGGCAAAAAGAAGCCCAAAACAAAGTGTTTTGCTTACTGTACACTAAGGAAATAAGATAGAAAAGAGATCTTAGCAGTATATATACGTTCTGGCGTTGCTTGGTGCCGTCTTTCATTTCGTACACTACAGGGAAGCTTGTGTGCTTTTCTTGCACAAAAAAAAGCGATCTTACAAGGTCATCCTAAAAAGGAGAACATTTGATTTTTTCGTCTTTGCACAGTAGAAATAAAAGAGCTATAGAACATTTTCCGTTCGGATGTGAAAGCACAGTTATTTTCCTTCATGATAAAAGAAATCCGACCGTAAAATGTTTGCTTCCAGCGCAATTAGAAAACTTTTTCAAGTGCCATAAAAGTGCGAAATGAAGAACTTTGTAAAACTTTTTCTACGTCTGATAGCAGCTTCTCAGAAAAACAGAACAGATTTATCACTTTGTGATGGTCCACGTAGTACTTCCAAATTTTAAGAATAAAAGTTTTGTCATAATCATATAATTGAACAGAAAATGTTCAGACCGCCGTCCAGATCTGAAAAGCACTATCAAGAATTATTTCGTAACAGTTGTAGCAAAATAACCTAGGTGATTGTGTGTTGTTTTTTCTTCTTTAGCCTAGTGAACGCCGAGAACAGATCCCGAAAGTGACATGAACAGAGTTAAGAGAATCAGTTCTTGTTATCGACTAGAAAGATAGTAGTTTTAGGCCTGATCATCATGTTTTTCGAGAACTAAGTACTGATCAGCTTCAAGAAAAGGATCGGATCTTTTATAAATTTAGAAGGAATTCTCTTTCACTATAGCGCGTGTATTTGTGAGTAGGGATGTTCGGTATTCGGTTCTCGTGAAGAACCGGAACCGCGGTTCTCTTGTTTTCGGTTCTTCATGGGGAACCGGAACCGCAGTTCGGTTCTGTAGGAGGAACCGGAATCGCGGTTCTCTTGCTTTCGGTTCTTTTCGGGGGTTCCTGCAAGGGTACTAAGCAATCCTTAGCCTCGCTAGTGCCTCTAATAGGGAAACCTTCAGCAGACAACATGTCATTAGCTAGAGAAAGAGAAAACAGACCTCTATCTTCTGCTCCATTGCCTCTGTTTGTTTCTTCTATATCTTTATCTAATCCTTTTTGTTTCGGCATGGGTGATTCTGATTGATATTCATTTGCGGAGTCTTTATTTTGCGACGAGTATTCTAAAAGATCTGCTAATGCAACCTTTTGTCCCGGGCGAATGTACGAAGACGATGCGGAGCAGTTAGCGACTTGTACGAATGATTTTCGATCTTTAATTCGAATCCAACTATTGGCAGTGTGAATTTTTCGACCGACGGATGTTATCGATGCATCCCAACTGTCTGTAGTAATGGATGACGGAACCGTGACCTGGATGAATGCTAGATGATAAGGTGGTATTTTTTGACGGCTGGTTGAGATTAACGGAACGTCTATTCGACCCCCTTGAGAAATATCGGATGATACGAAATACGTTTTCTCCGGTTTAGATCGTAGCCACATCTTGTTATCTTGCACATCCAGACATAGTCCAAT